CCTCCTCCTCTCAACCAGTCCGTTCAGGACGGTTGGAGCTTTTTCGGTTGATTGTCCCCGGGGCGGTATTGATGCACATGATCTCCTAGAGGAATGCCTACTGGCACCATAAATTTCGATGACATAGATCGAAAAACTTTTAATTTTTTCTACTAATATTTCTCCTTAGGCAACGCAACTGTTTTCCTGACGCAAAGTTATTCCTTCTTTGCGTATGCTTAATGGTAAAGCCCAGTGTTGTCCTATCTGGAACTGTAAATACTTAAAATAATTTCCTTAATGCTCAGCAATCCCTGTCTGAACAGATTGTTTCAACTTGCTTTTGGACACGATTGGAATATAATCTTTGCTTCTCGCCAGAAATTGTGCCATGTAAATCATGAGGGGGATTCGATCTCGATTCTGACACATCGGCGACAGGAACAATTGCAGACATAGTTTTTGCATGAAGATCTTGTGGTCGGATGTGATTTGGTAGCCCCACCTGAAGTAAACAAACCTCAGTCACCTCTAATACGGGACCGGCGGTAATAGGGGTTTCTACAGGTGGAGCCGAGGAACGCACAGATCACGAGGTCAAGCAGTTGTATGCAAAAGAAAAGCTAACGGTGACGCGCGGGTGTACTTTGAGTGGTTGTGAAATTGTTACGCTAACCCCTAACCCTAAAGCCCATCCTTAAACCCTAACCCTAAACTCCATCCGCTAACCCTAACCCCTTAACCCCAACCCCAACAGTACTGTGTGCATCAGGTGGGGCAATCAAACCACATCTTAGCCTCTTGTAAAAATCATCTTTGTCAACCTAGAATTAATACACAGTCGTCAACAACGGGCAGGCATCGAATATCCGCCGAATATATCGAGATGTTGTACAGCCGTAGGAGCTCAACAGCTAGTGTGTAGGGCTGTGATAGGAAGAATTTGAATGAGCTGCATTACTGGGTACCATTGTGTGGAGTGGATAGTGTGTTTTAATTGCCTGCAGACGTTATTGTCTCATGTGATGCCTATCCCCGCGCCCAACGTCATTCAGCGCCTCGTGCATAATGAACTTAAATAGAGGAGGGAGGAGGCAAAGACGGAAGTAATTTTTATCACATAAGGCGAACGTTAATGAACCTATTTCACATCAATGTAAGGCCACAATTCACGCAATTAATTCAGGCAACGTAATTTACAAGGAGTAAGTTAACATGCGTCGGAAATGTCTGGTGTTCTCGTTTACCAGTGCTGCTGCGGAAATAAAAATTCACAATACTCGCTGAAGTTGATTGCAATTGATGCTTCGCAACAGACCCGTGTAAAGTCCGGTCAGAAAGTTGGTGTGAATGTCCGAGCCGAAATCCATCAGCTGCTGCTGAATAACCGCAGAATATTTACAAGCTGCTAACAGGCAGTCTAGTAGTATGCAATTACGTGATTACTAACCATACTGACAGCATATGAGGTAGCTTATAAGTGTTGCGCCGTTATTCCGCATAAGCTGATGGATTTCAGCTCAGGCATTCACACCAATTTCAGACCGAGACTAACACGGATCTGCTCCGAAGGATTTAGTCCCAGCTAATGCATTAATTTCCTGGAAATCAAAGAAGGTAGGATGAAAGTGGGGTTAATTTACCAGAAAGCACACATGGGATATTGGGGGACCTATCCACTGTGCAATGTCGGCAGAATACAAGAGCCGAAACAGGGCTTTTCATCAAAATTTGACCTGGGTCTCATCGTCAGAAAGTAGTATTACATTTCTGCGGTTAGTCTGCGTCATATTATGCGGTTTGATGTAATTTCCTTAGCTAGACTAAAATCCTGGTGTGAAATCGCGATCGATTTGTGATCTTTCAGCATTTCCCACGACGATTTTGGTAGAGCGTATGGAATAGAGACAAGACCAATAGAAAATCTGACCAACCAAATGTGGTTAGACACCTCCAAGGACGCGATGAAGGAGACGCGATCTCTCTTATGCCTCTTCCTCCTCCTCCTCCTCCTCCTCCTCCTCCTCCTCCTCCTCCCCCACCTCTCGGCAACCAAACCACCTTACATGCGAGTAGAGTAAGTCCACCCATTATGGCAGCCTGTAATTTCCTTTCCCTTTTAGACAGTCCAAGGAGCAACTGACCGGAAAGGAGGGAGACGCTAGTGGATTGGGAACTGGTGCGCTACAAGGTGGATATCGCCGAACTTAACGAGACCTGCTTCACCGAATAAGGGCAATTGGGGAAATTAGGCGCCAGCTACACCTGATTGTGCAGCGGTCGTCCCAAGTCAGAGCGACGTGATGCGGGCAACGCCTTTGACACCCACAAGGACATCGATGTAGGATTTCTCTGTCTGCACTGCATGATTTTGTTTGCACAAAACCGTTTTGCGTAATATGAGTGCTGAGGGATTTGTTTCTTCCAGATGACTTTGTCCGACTATTTTTATCTAGGCTGATGTAGACTTCCGGAAAACCTAAGTAATTTTTATTACCGACGACTTGTTAGTGTAATACAATTTCACCTACAGACTCAACAGTAGGGATCCAACATCTGGGAACACTTCGTAAACCAACAAAGTTGTCCCTCTTTGGAACATGATTTGTGGTAATTGGTGGTTTTAAAAGTGGGCAAAAATCACAGAAAGAAAGGAAATTGTCAAGGAAAAATAGGTAAAAGAATTAAATAAGCAGCGGTTTGTTTGACTACTCCAATTCACTTTACATAGAAGCACGGATTTGAAAATACGATACGCCATGGCAAACTGTGAAGTAACAGGCGGCTCAGAATGTCTCCAAATTATAGCAGTATCGACTTGCTGTAAAGGGGGCCCCTCCTTAAAGTCGTAATTGAAAACTAAGAACGACCATTATGTCAGCATTATACGCGCGAACCCCCTCCTGCTACAGGTTATAGCGAGAACCCTATTACGAAGCCGGTCTAAAGCCAGTCGAAAGCCGAATTGCCCAATTAGTAGCCCAAACTGCAAGTTAAAACAACGATGCCGTATGCGTACTCCTAACACTTAAACAAACATTATACCAAAAATAACCCAAGCAATAAAACTAACCCCATCTGTAGCTTTGTAATTATGTCTGTCCCTTACTATAATCATAACTCTAGACTCTCTCGTGAAATCCGACTCACATCAGCAGCCCTGAAACCTTAATGTACAATTTATGTACGTCAAGGTTTTTGTTCCCAGTTAACATTGTCTGGCTATATTTAGGGAAACCGATGCGGCAATTCAAACCTCTCGAAAGTTTATTATGGTTCCATATGATGTCGGCAATGGACCGCGTATGCGAGTGCACCTATTTTCGCTCCGACTTTCGAAGGTTGATTCGTACAGTCGTATCGTTTTTATTACAGCCGACTTGTTTTTGCAACATAACCTGCTCTACTAATTCAGAAAAATAAGTAAAGAGAAACAGGGGTGTGTGGACATTTCATGAGATATTCAACAACCGAGGTTGTTAACTGTCAGTCTTCCTGAACTATATCGAGCACACGTTTGTGTCCTAGTAACAAAGAAGGTCTGATTGTCAACCATTAAATCAATATGTTTAAAACTTCGAAAGAAACCGCTTATGGGCGTATTTAAACACAGTCCTGATAATCACGCCTCGACTAATATTTTATGTAATTATGGCAGTCTAGATGGTATGGCGACATGGGAATCGGGCCCCTGAGCTTAAATACGAATTTGCGGTAATAAAACATATATCTCCATCACTGAACACGAAGTTGAGCAGGTCTCCTAGTGGGCACCGCAATCACGTCATCTTCCTCGGACCTTTAGTCTATGATCGATGATGGTGGCATAGTGGCGTCAACCGCTCTGTGTATGTACCCAATCGTAACTGACTAGACAATGAGTCCCTATCTCGGTGGTTAGAGCGTTGAACTTCTAACAAATTCGCGCGATAAGACCTCACCGGTTGCAAAACTTGACGTTCTGCACTCGAACCTTCTTACACGGTCCTCTGGAATATAATCAATACTGAATTGAATGGTATATCAGCCAATTCTCGAAGGATAATTGGGCTAATTCTTTCTGATCCTGGCTACTTGGGAAACTTCATTCGAAGTAATTCTGCCTGTGTCCACGCAAACGATACAGATTTTTGTGGTTGCTAGTTTGGGTGAGAGAATGAAGAAGGATTACCTTATGAATAAAAACTCGACTCGAGGAAACCTGAGCTGACGCATACCTTTGTCCGGTCAATCGTCTCCAGTGATTACCTTTTGAATCCCAGCGACAACAGCGAATCACGATTCGCTCCAGCCAGTTCTCATTATTACTTCAAAGTATGATCTCCCTATATGTAAACGCATCTAATGATCGTTTGTGCTCCTGCAATTGTCTAAAACACTGCTGAGACGAGAATTTACATGTTGCTAAATCACCCTCCCAGATTCTTTCGTCCTGCCATTTAGGCAAAATGGGCTTAGAAGCTCGGATTATTCAGAGGGCAAATCGCCATATGACTAGAAAAATCCATTGGTGGGTGACCTCTTAAATCTAGCAAACCTTCCTCTTTTCAGTATCAAACTTTTTCGAATGCCATGCTCTATCAGAGAACGTTTTCATTCGCATCGCGCAATGTGTCAGGTAGCAAACTATGGCATATATTGACGACAGAAGCGAAGAGACGAGTCCCAGGAAGCAGTCTTGAAGAAGAAGACACGATCGCTGGGACAAGAGCTTCATTCGCCTGACGTTTCGGATTGCGGCTGGAACCCATCATCAGTGAAAAAAGCAGATTCGCGTCATTCATGCAAAAGTGGCTGCTGTATTTATAGGATGCAGTCGTCATGCTACCGCATAACTATAAATGTTCACGTCTCTTCTCTTCATCAGGGATCGTTGCACGTGGTTTGAGGAATATCTAATGGCCGACATTTGCATGGTTATTTTCTGCAATCTCATCACGTGCGTTGGATGTTGGTGTGATGATTACTGGACCATCTGACACACCGGCCCTGGTGTTGAAAAAAGAGTTCACCTGTGCGCTCCTCTCGTTGCGAATGCAGTAGATGTGCTAACTCATGAAATGCCAACCAAAATTTCGAAATGCCTTCTCGTTTCGAAAAGATAAATTAAGTAGTGTTGTAAAACTAATCGTGATGCAGCATAAATCTATAACGATCCAGTTACCTCAGGGTGTCGGCTTTCGAAAGAACTTATTTTCGGCTGCATGCAAGCACTATATTCTGCAAAAGATGACTACTTAAGTTGCATGCAATTTTCGCATTGATTTTCGATGCCCTTGAAAATTCAATTATTTTTCATGGAAAACATGCAAAAAATATCCATTCTTTTGCTTATTCGGTAGAAAATCACGTCTTCTTCTAACTTCATACTCAAAAGAAGAGTATAATTTGGTTTTAAAATCTTTTCTAATTTCTGAATAATTTTGAACCCGACCTGCTGTTACACTTGCATTCAGGGTTTCAAAACTACAAGCTGTATAATTTCCGTGTTCGGAAAACGAAGCATTTCTCTACGGTGTTATGAGGAGACCATATGAGGTTCATAAAATTAAACAGTGGATTTGAGCAATATTGTTAACTTTACAAGCCACATACGTTAATGCAGATACATGACGTTTTATGAACGGCCATATAACGGTATTAAAAAATTTAACAATTAGAAAGTTTTTTAAAACAAAATTATACAATTCTTTTGAAGACGTGATTTTCTACCGAGTAAGTAAAAGAATGAATATTTTTATGGACGTTTTCCATGAAATATAATTAAATTTTTTAAGGGCATCGAAAAACAATAAGAAAATTGCATGCAACGTAAGTAGTCATTTTTGCAGAGTATAGATCTTGCATGCAGCCGAAAATAAGTTCTTTCGAAAGCCGACACCCTGAGGTAACTGGATCATTATAGATGAATGCTGCATCATGATTAGTGTTACAACACTACTTAATTTATCTTTTCAAAACGAGAAGGAATTTCGAAATTTTGGCTGACAATTCATGAGTTACCAAATTGACTGTAACTACGCATAGGCGACTTCTCAGCGTCGAATGTGGAAGGGGAAGAGCATTGTACTTGTTAATGCACTGCCGGACCCTACACCATGATTCAAGCAGCTGCCTGATCACGCGCTTATCATCTCTAGCGAGAATTTCGGCCTCTTCGAATTTGAATGTTTGGTCGGATCTCGTCGAATGAGCTGCAACTTGAGAGCTGGCGTCATTTCTCCAAACCACTGCAGCGTGCTCGCCCATTCGCGTTAGGAGCTGTTTTCCGGTCGAGCAATCATCACACCAATATCCAACGCACGTGATAAGATTGCAGAAATTAACGACGCAAATGTCGGCCATCAGTGAATCATCACAACACGTGCAACGATACCTGATGAAGGGGGTAGCCGTGAATATTCCAATCATCACACTACGTGCAATATACATTTATAGTATTGGCCCTGGAGCCTGCGACAAAGCAGTCATCACGTTCGAAATAATAGGTAAAAAACGCAAGAGCTAACACACTGACCTCATCAGCCAAAGCAACAAATTGTCTTACATATTCCAACAATGGATTTTCGTAGTCAGTGCTCCCACAGTAAAAAAATGATCATGCAGACTTCAACTACCAACGGACTGTTTCCGCTTGCTTTCCGCCATCTACGCTTCCACATCGTTTACAACCCCAACCGCGTTCATCATGTCAGTGAGATTTGGCGACTTGTCTTTCACAGTTACTCCTCAATACTGACAGTCGATCAGGGCTTGGGAACATTTCACCAGTACCTGTTAAACAATATCCACGCCATTCCCTCCACTGCTAATTTAGTCGCCCGTAGGCTCAAATGTTTCAAATTGTGACCCCATGTTTCTGCACCTCACTGGAGTATTAAAACACGGAATAGGTGTACATTAAAGATTTCATTTCTACTTGTCTACCCATCTTTACACAATGTCGTAAAATCCAATTATCAACGTAGTACGTTTATGGCGAAAACTGTGCTCTACTGACGTAAGAGTTCGGTTGATGCTCCATATATTTGATTGACGTTCCAGAATTGTATGCCTATCCTCATACGTATTGGAGTGATGAAAATTTGCACACTGCAGAAAAGGCGATGCCCTCGGCTACAAGCTAAATCACATGGCATACGAGTCGCTGATTGACGTTAATCGAGGAGGTAGGGGGAGTGTATAAGAAAAGCGTGGAGAGACAAACGTGTAATAGGTGATTCTACGAGGCCTTGTCGGTCGGCATTAAGGCACACTAACTCGGTCAAATTTGCTGCATTTTTATTTTATCTTAAAGTAACTACAAAATGGCGTAGATCAGTTTATTCAAGGACTATAGCCTTAAACCGAGTAATTTACGTATGAATATTTGGGCCGAATTTCATCAGCCACAGCTGGTAACCTCCGCTAGGGAATCGGGAAAATAAGTAAATACACAGGGGATTGTTGCTTTTTAATTTTCTCAGAAATTAACTGCTAACTTTCAGTCGACCCGTGTATACTAAGGTCGGTCAGATGTGGTTTGGTAGCTCCATCTGAAGTAAACAAACCCCAGTCACCTCTAATACAGGACCGTTGATAATATTGATTTTTACAGGTGGAACCGGGGAATGCACAGCCGACGAGGTCAAGTAGTTGTATGCAAAAGAAAAGCTAATTGGCTGAAAAAGAGTTGTGCATACCCCAAATCCTAACCCTTACCCCTTATCCATTACTCATAACCGTTAAATCCAACAGTACTGTGTCCATCAGGTGGGGATAGGAAACCATATCTTACCAAAAGGTCTATAGGCGCAGACGAAATTTGACGTAAGAATAGTTGGGCTGAACTCCATCAGCCACAACGGGATGACCGCGTAATATCCATGACCTACTAACAGGCAAATAGTAGTATATTTTAACATTAGAAGATATCATACCAGCAACACAGGAGATAGCTAAAAACCCAGATACGCGTGTTCCGCTGATCTTGTACCGCTGCTTGACACAGCTGAGAGGGGTTCGGTTCATCAATGGGCTCCCCAGCATTCTCCGTGTGCTGCTAACTTGGTCTCTTCTAACAATAAAACACAGTTGCAAGGTTAGCATTAGGAAGTCGAAAACAACTGGTTTGAAAGTGGGTGGGGGTGAGTTGGAGGCAAAAGAACATGGTCGATTCGAATGGTACTGCATTATTATTATTAGGAGAACCCATTGGTGAGTGGCGTTGTACATCCACCAAACTCCCCTCTACAGTGCTAGAAATTTGTCTAGAATGTCACGTACTGCCAGTAAAGTTCCTTCGCTCTTATTATGCGATACGCAAGGCAGCAAACCCCATCAGGCAGAAATTCAGAAACAGCGTTGAGTTCATCGATTTGACCTGTTGTTGACGCCGTTGTAAGCCTCACAATGGCGAGATTTGAGCAAGAGAAGACACATCGTTATAATCTCCCAGTTATCATCCGGAGTTTTCTATTAAAATAGGAATCTGTGACAAGCCTACAGAGTAGAAGATAAATGACAACATGTCACAGCAGTGATTAGCCGTTCAGTTGCTGAGTAAATGGATTGGCTCAGCAGCCGATGCACCACGAGTGACATTCTGGAAATTTTCGACACAAACATTCAACGCACGTGATGAGATTAGCCCAGAAAGTCAAGAATTGTCAAATTAATATTCCCCCCCTATCACGCGATGCGCAAATAGCACGGACTGTAAAACTGTGGCTAATCAAATGCGTCTTCAATATACATTTATAGTAATGACCCTGGAGCATGCGACCAAGTAGTCATCACGTTCGAAATAATAGGTAAAAAATGCAAGAGCTAACACACTGACCTCATCAGCCAAAGCAACAAATTGTCTTACATATTCCAACAATGGATTTTCGTAGTCAGTGCTCCCACAGTAAAAAAATGATCATGCAGACTTCAACTACCAACGGACTGTTTCCGCTTGCTTTCCGCCATCTACGCTTCCACATCGTTTACAACCCCAACCGCGTTCATCATGTCAGTGAGATTTGGCGACTTGTCTTTCACAGTTACTCCTCAATACTGACAGTCGATCAGGGCTTGGGAACATTTCACCAGTACCTGTTAAACAATATCCACGCCATTCCCTCCACTGCTAATTTAGTCGCCCGTAGGCTCAAATGTTTCAAATTGTGACCCCATGTTTCTGCACCTCACTGGAGTATTAAAACACGGAATAGGTGTACATTAAAGATTTCATTTCTACTTGTCTACCCATCTTTACACAATGTCGTAAAATCCAATTATCAACGTAGTACGTTTATGGCGAAAACTGTGCTCTACTGACGTAAGAGTTCGGTTGATGCTCCATATATTTGATTGACGTTCCAGAATTGTATGCCTATCCTCATACGTATTGGAGTGATGAAAATTTGCACACTGCAGAAAAGGCGATGCCCTCGGCTACAAGCTAAATCACATGGCATACGAGTCGCTGATTGACGTTAATCGAGGAGGTAGGGGGAGTGTATAAGAAAAGCGTGGAGAGACAAACGTGTCAAGGTGACTTGCGGAGTCCTTGTACGTCGTGGGAATGAAACAACTGTGTTTAGGGAAAACGAACTAGGCACAGCTAAAATTCTCACACCAGCTGCAAAATGGTTATATCTAACACATTCCATTTTCTATCCATTTGATTCTCGAGGACCGCTTTAAGTCAAGTTCAGAGCTTCAGCACGGTTCCCCATCACCGTGCAATGGTGGCGGGTATTTTGCGCAGTCAACATTAAATTTGATTGTCCATTTGTTGATGGCGAAGTGTTCACAGTCAGGCATGGACAACGAGGATTCTCGTCTCGGTCGCTAAATTAATACTAACACTAGACTAGTCGACCTCACTAGATGTGTCTCACGTCAATGGAATTGCATGGCTCATATTCATGGCCAAGCCATTCGGAAGAGCTGCTCTGATATTTCCCCTCGTAATCCAGGATGGAATCTGGCAACACCATGCAATCCGTTATATGCTTAGTTGCTTCTTTCGACACAAACGTTGTTAGTTCCCTCTTACAAAGATTTCCGCATTGGTCAGCTGATAAAACCGTCAAAGAAGGTTGACATTTGTTTGTCGTAAGCCAGTTTTCATTCACACCATGAAAATGGCCATAGATGATGCAAACTTTACTCACATAATTCGTTCTCTCGTCAGCGAGAGTTCAGTGGCCCTAAAAATATACATCTGTATTATGCTGGCTGACCATGTCAGCTGTACTTCTTACTTCCGTCCGTGCATGCGTTTGTACTTTGGCAATTAATGCCAGCATTTTTGTAAATCGGTCAGCGTTTGTTGCTGTCCAACAGCGGTATAAGAACAAATTCCGTAACTCATTATGTTAATGAACGTTGAGAAAAGTAATGTTTCTCCTTTTTACTTTCCAGGGAAGTAAATGCGTAAACTGGAATTAAACCCTTCGCCGCGGATCTCTTTAGGCGTGTTCCAAGAAAGTTCGGTTCCGAAGAATTTACTCCAAGTCTGTGCATTACTTTCCGCCGAAAGTAAACAAGTCCAGGAGAGACTGGTTCTCATGTGCCAGAAATCACACTGGGAGGGCTGGGAGACCCATTGATGGTGATCAAAGTAATCTGACACTGATATCAGCTTCATAAGATTATTACTCATGGTGCATTTACTACCGCGCCAACCCATCTACTCAACGACTGAACAGCTAATCACTGCAGTGACATGTTGTCATTTATCTTCTACACTCTAGGCTTGTCACAGATTCCAATTTTAACGGAAAAGTCCAGATAAAAACTGGCAGATTAAAACGATGTGTTTTCACTCGCGCAAATCTAGCCATTGCGAGGCTGACCGTTATTGCACATACGAAGCTTGTTTGCTTTGTGAAGCCAATAGATCGGTGTGCGCCCATTCCTGATTGATAAATACCCGATCTGCAGCGACAGAGAATGACAGGTGGTGAGGCACTGATGAACTTCTGTTCGATGAAGTGCTTATGACCCATCTGGTAGGCCTCAGTGGTGGACCGAGTGTGCCAGGTGCGTCTGAGCGCATGTATGTGTTTCTGGACTCACCTGCTGGTGGTCAGGTTTATGATTGGCTGAATGAAGGCAGAATAAGACCGAAACAGTGCTGTATCAATCTACCCACATTCTCTTTCTTCCCTCATCGCTGATATATATATATAAACATGAGTGAAGATTCGAGGTCCAGATAAATTATCCCGTTCATCATCCCCAAAAGAAGACGAAGAAGAAAAAGAGGCTGTCAGACGACCGACGCGAGACATCGACCCACCGACGCGCCCAAACAGCCGATCACGATTCCCACATGCAACGGCAGCCGATCGGCCCGTCAAATTATGGGGGGAGGTCCCAAGAGCACACGGACCTAGCAGCGACAACAGCGGCCGGGCAGGGGGCAGAGGTCACACCAGCGCCCCAGCGGTCGGCCACGGAGAGAGCTAAGCCAATCGCCCGCCAGCAAGCAGGTCAGAGTTCGTGTATCAGGCATGCCTAAAACACGAGACAGGCGGCGAGACAGAACAACTCTGAGCTAGCAGGAACAAACACCCTACCACTACACTTATGATGGAATCGAGGAAGATTCCGAAACGTCAGCACCAATACAGTGTGGTCCATGGCATCGCCTCTTTTTCTTCTTCGTCTTCTTTTGGGGATGATGAACGGGATAATTTATCTGGACCTCGAATCTTCAGTCATGTTGATTTATCCTATGGGCGCACAGCCCTTCGCTCAGCACGCAGATGGGAGACTTTTGCAAAACGAGAGTCATCCACCTACGCACAGCTGAAGTTCCTGCACCGTTGCCTTGATGAGAACGTCTTGCCAAAATGTCTCCGATATAGCCTGCCAGTGATGACCGACCACTGCCAGCGGACAATGGCAGATTTCAAGAAGAAGATGATCCGAGTCTTGATACAAGACTGCCACGCTCGCATCCGTAAATACCGACGAGCGATAGAACAGCATATTTCCGCATGCCGGTCAATAGTCACCGCACACGATCTGCAAATGCTGTAATCGACAATACTCAGCAATGCGCGTTGCCACCGCAGGTTGCGCGACAACCAATTGCTAGAGAAGTTCGAAAGAATACGTCCACAAATGGAGCCCTTGTCTGACGGTGTCCTGGTTCACAACCTCTCGTCTCGTCGCCTCACACAGCAACAGCTGGAGGTTTTATCCTATGACGCTAAGTTCAACACAAGAGATGCTCGACCGGAAGATTTCATCGCATCCTTCGAGTCGGCCCTTCAGAAGTGTGAAGCCAACGAGGAGTACAAAAATTCCATGCGGCAGCAAGTGTCAACTCTTCTCCTCCAGCACAAACCTCAAAGGGTGATTTCCGAAGCAGAAGACCGAGAACTTCTGAGAATGCGAAAGATGAGAGATATCGTCACCCTGCCAGCCGACAAGGGACGCTCGACGGTTGTCATGGACAAGACCGAGTACACGGCGAAACTGGAAGGTCTGCTGGAGGACGAAGTTGCCTATAAGCTTTCGGAGACTGGAGAATTCAAGAAGCACGTGAACAGTGTAAACAAGGCGATAGACAAGTTAAGGAAGGCAGGAGCCCTCAAGAGGCAGGAAGCACTGGCCGCAAAAGCCACCGATGCCGCCATGGCGCGCTTCTACGGTCTGCCAAAAGTGCATAAACCGGGAGTACCTCTACGCCCCATAGTCTCATTACGCGGCACCCCGACCTTTGGACTGTCGAAATGGCTTTACCAACGATTCCGTTTCCTGACCGGGGATTCCGAATGTACGGTGAAATCGGCTGAGCAGTTTTTGAGGAGTATCAGACATCTAGAAATAGAGTCAGACGAGATGATGGTATCGTTTGATGTGGTCTCCTTATTCACCTCCATCCCAACCGACCTTGCCATCAGCACCATTAACGAGCTAAATCAGGAGAAGTACGATGAAACCGATCAACGGCTTACACGAACGCACGTCATCGAACTCCTGGAATTGTGCCTCAGGACTTTCTTCACTTTCAACAACCGGGTTTACGAACAAAAGAAGGGAACACCCATGGGCTCCCCGCTGTCTGGACTGATTGCCGAGGCTGTTCTGCAGAGGCTCGAGCGACTGGTCGTCAGTTCGTACTCCCCTAAATTCTGGGCCAGATACGTCGACGACACATTTGTCGTAGAGTTGCGAAAATTCCCATTGTAAAATTCAAAAGGCAATTTGGCGAGCATACGTTTGCTTTCGATAAATTCTCTTCCGGCCTGTACATTTATATGGCTATTGAAGTAATGAATGCAAAAGATACGGGTAGATAGGGGAGGGTAGGGGAGGGGGAGGGTGAGACACCATAATTCCAGTCAGCGCCAGGGGGAGGGTGGGTCCCGGCGAATGCAGTTACAT